GCGATGCATTCCATCGCAACTAGACTGTTCGCAAAAGGCCAGAAATCCAGCTAGGTTGTGTACAATTAAATCGTGTCCGATGGGCTTAAAATCGAAATAGACATATTCCATCAGAAGTGCATATCGGTCAAGGCAGATTCCTTTAAACTTGACGATGTTTGCATGATTTAATTGACTAATAAGTCGTGCTTCTTTCAGTAGTAATTTTCTTGCTTCAAGACTCGAGTCCAGCAGTTTTTTAACCACAATCTTTTCATGTTCACCCGGGAGCATCGCTGTAAACACAACGGCAAACCCGCCGTCGCCAATTTCATCTTTATCAACCAGTGATCGATATGAATATTGCGATAAACCGGAAACATCTACGGTTTCGAGATTTTTTGATTGAGTACAATTTTTTAAACTGCCAAACAACGACATTTTATTGATCTGAATGACTACACTGCATGAAAAAATACAGTTTGCAGCGAGTTCAATTGTTCACACTTCAAAGTTCACTCCACTTGTACCTGTCACGGTGCCAGGGCCAGGGTATTAAATTTTATAAAATTTATAAAAATTTTATAAAATTTATAAAAATTTTATAAAATTTATAAAAATTTTATATTTAAAATTTTTTATATTTTTATAAAATTTTTGTATCAAATTTTATTTTATTTTTTTTTAATTTTTTTCACGGTTCCAGGGCCAGGGTATTAATTTTTTTATTTTAATCTGAATGACGACACTGCATGAACACTTCAAAGTTCGCTCCACTTGTACCTGTAACTATTAACTTTGAGATTTTTAATGAAACATAGTTGTTCTACTCTACAATGTTATATTAGATCTTCTGCGAACGAAATGGAGCTGAAATACTTCGTTCGCAGAACATCCAATCCCCTGTACTTTTGAGATGTACAATGTGGTTATGGCATATGGGGCCCAGACAACCACTTTCAGACGTTGTTGGGACACATGTAGTTTTAGCTTGTAATTGGATCATTACAGTTTTTTATACACAATACCGCTGCCCTCCCCCTACCCACACCCAATCAATGTTCTTTAAACCAAAACACGTCAAACCCGAAGTGAAATGGGACACAACATTGAACAGGGGGCGGAGGGATTGTCGTTGGTTGAAATTCAAAGGTTTTGTGGCATCTGTCCAAAGACTTTTGAAACTGATTGTAGCTCCTCGCGCGTCTTTGATTGTGTGCACTCTTGCACAGCTCGGATCTTGTCTGGGCTTGGCTTTAATCCTTCCGTGGTGAACATATGTCTGTGAAAGGTCATGCTCTTTTCCAGAATTCACATTTCTCTTTCCGTAGTGTAAAATTATGATCGTCGATTCGCTGTAGTACTGCTTGAAGGTTTTTGTTGTGGCCCTTCCAGTCAAGCCTGTCGATCATTATATCGTCGCGGTTATTCAAAACTCTCGGGATACCGGATATGAATTTTGCAATCTCTGCGTCGAAGAGGTCTTGGCTGTTGAGTCCACCAAAAGCAAGTCTCTTATATCGGTAATTGCCCCACGGTGTAGAGAATGTCATAATTCGCCGGGATTGTTCATCCAGGAAAAATTGGTGGTAACCCCGGTTGAGATCTAAGTTACTGAAAACTTTGCATCCCTTGGACTCTCGAATGAAATCTTCGAATATTGGGGCTTGGCGAGTGCGCATCATTGATTTAATGACCAATCGCAGATCCAGACAGGCACGAATGTCTTTCGAGTTTTTTTGTTTGGGTTGTACGACCAATGGTGAGACCACGTAATGGCTTCGTGCTCTGGTACCGCCTCGATTATGTCGTTCTCTTCGAATTCTGCCAGTCGTTGCATCAACGTTGGTTCAACTGGTATGGAACTCGTCGGGTTTCTGTGCAATGGGTGTTGGGTCGTCTTTCATTGGTACAGTTATCTCTATTTCTTCTCCATTTTGCATTGCTTTTCCGGTGCCCGTGAATCTCTGTTGGTATCTGTCCAGGATTTTATCAAGTTCAGTTTTGTTCTGATCACGTGGTTGATCCGATTCCTGCTGTTTATTAACTTCTTTGACCGTTTTATTTGGGCTTTTAAGATTTCCTGTCACGTCGATCAGCAACATTCCGGGCACTTCGAGTATTTATCTACCGATTAATGGCGGTGAGTCGATTTTACCTTTGATAATAATCATAGTTGTAGAGACAGTTCGTGTTGCACTTGCCATTTCAACATTTACTTCTCGGATTACCGGTAATTCCTCTTTAAGAGCTTTAAGTATGATCTTCGTATTTTTAATCTTCGTTCCGGTGCTTGTTCTCGAAGGTGCGCGAATTGGCTTTCGTCCATAATGTTCGTATCCGATCCACTGTCCGGTTCAGCTACGATATTTATTCCGTTTATTTGGATTGTGCATGTTTTCCATTTGTCAGCGTTATCTTGGCTTGTGTGGTGTGTTTTGAAGTGATTCATGAACCGTTCGTCGTCACTTGAGCTGTCGTCACTACAGTTATCACCAACGTCTCTTGTGCGTCTGGTTTGGCTCATCTCGCGCTTGTCATCACCGCGATAATCTCGTTTATCTCGAATGTTCTTCGAATCTGAACGATATCTATTACTACCAAGGCGTTGTATCTGGTTACGATTATCTATATTGTGTTTAGTTTTTCCAAAACAAACTCGCGCGTAGTGGTTTTTCTTTCCAAAGGTATCACACGAAACACCAATAGCAGGGCAAGTGGTGTGTTTCTTTGAATTCCCGCAGCGTCCACATGCGTCATCTGTAGTTGAGTGTCGTGTAGGTTTTCTTAAAGCCAGTTTCTTTATTCTTTCGTGTGCGGTTTCTTCGTTGATTTTCTTGTTAATAGCGTCAGCTTGCTCTGTAGTTTGCTCGTCGTTAGTTGTCTCTGTTAGGATTCTATCGAATGCCCAGTTTTCGCGTACAGCTTTGTTTCGAATTTTGTGATTGAGCATTGTTCGTATCAAATGATCACGTATAGTCCGTATAGCATCGTCTTCATGATCTGCGTATTCACATTTCTGCAATGTTTCGTATCTTGGCGTAATATTCAGCAAGTCTTTCGGAGCTTTGTTGTTTCAATTCGCTGAGTTGAAATCGAGCAAAGTCCTTGTTACACTGACCTGAAAGGTCAAGTGTCTTAAATCCCTAGTTTTCTGTTTTCTTCTGTTTGTTTCGTCGTCGAGAAATCGAGTTTGCGTTCGCGCATCGCAGGCTCAGGGTGCAACGATTAATCCAAAATGCCATCGATTCTTTGACTCCACGATTCATGTATAATAGTAAGAAGTTTGTGTTTATCTACGTACTAGCCGGCTTATGCCATGCTTGTGGTGCATAGACTTATATGGACTTATACGACGCGCACAATTCCGAACTCCAATGGTGACATATTCAGTCCAGTTTCAAAATGGCGCCTTTTGGCTGAGTGATCGGAATATTATATTTCACACAGTTTCGTTGAATTTTCAAAGAGTTGTGCCGGTTTCTTATGGATTTTACGTTTCTTGCGTGTTGAATTAATATGTTTTTCTTCGTGTAACGACTTGAAAACCCCAAAATTTGGACCCAGCGAATTTTACAAAGGACAAGTTATAAAGGTTTGACAGTTTGACTTTTTAACTAATAAACAACTGTCTATAAATATACGTCGTAGAGTCATAAACATCCGTGGTGTAGTTGTGTTCATTTTTTGTCGCACTCTGGACTTTCTTGCGTGTTGAATTAATGTTTTTCTTTTTGTATTAAATGACTCTAAAATTTGGCTTCCAAAATTTGACCGACCCGCCGGATTTATACAATCAATATGTTGTATTAAACGACTCGAAAACCCCAAAATTTGGACCCGACGCGAATTTGTACAATATAGTGGAATATAAGCAAGGACAAGTTAAAGGTTCGACAGTTTATTTTGATTTATTGTATGGTTCTCATTTGCCTATTAATACAATATCATTTAGTTCACAATACAATATAAAGAAGGGCAAGTAAATATCCAGAAAAAGATAGTAAGATTAATGACCTTCAAATCCTATTTTGACCATACTGGACCAATTTTTAATGACCTTAAAGGACATTGGCAACGAAAATTTTTATTGGCTATTTCAATCCTACTTGACAACCGAACTATGAAAATATTATCATTTCCTTCTTGAACATTTTAGTCTACGAGTAAAATGCATGCAAACTTTGTGTTTCGGTCAGTTTCGCCGCCATCTTGGAAAATATTTTTGAAAAATTATCTCGAAGGTCAATGAACTTTGTGACGTCATTGGGTGGGTAGCACCAAAACTACAAGAGAGAATTCTATTGCGTGCGTGTTATGTTAGCTAAAACTATGTCGTTTTGAGCGTTATACTGGCCAACACTCTTCGCAATCAAACAAGAGAAGTCTACACTATCAGATAAAAACATATCGAGCGACTGGGAAAGCAAGAAATGGCGCAATTTACAATGCAGATAATTAATCATAAAATATTGCATTAGTATTTGCCGTTTTACACTCGAATTTCTGCGCTTTTTTCTCGGATATATACATGAGAAATAGTGTTACAAACAAGTTACATACTTGGTAAAACTTTTCTGCCTTTTGTTTTGCCTCAAAATGCACTACGCGTGGTAATACACGGTATTGTTTATAGTCATGAGATTGTGTTTACCCAGCCAATGACGTCAGATAATGTATTTTGTGGCATAAACTAGCATACGCGCTTATTTTCAAAATGGCGGAAAACTGTTCAAATTTTCTGAAATTCAATCAAATTTTCTCAGCAACTAAACGCGACAAACCGGCCAAAATATGAAATTAAATATTCCGTTAGTATACCTAATAGATATAAGTAATAAAAATTTTGGTTGCCAATGTCCTTTAAAATACTAAACTTGTATAAATTGAATGATTTCTTAACAAGTCTATTTATGTTCCGATATTTTCATCTACAAAATCTTCCACAAATTTTTGATAAATATTTTTTAACTAACAAAGAAATCCATAATTATAACACAAGAAACGCATCATTGCTCCACAAAAGTTGTACTAGAACAAATTATAAAAAACACAGCTCGGTATTAACGGCATCGATGTGTGGAATAGTCTTCCGACGCAATATAAGCAAATTAGATCTCTTCCAATATTTAAATCTACAATGAAAGTATATTTTCTTCTGTCAAATTTAAATAAGTAGAATTCTTGGCACAAAGTGAAAAGCCAAATAGTTGTTATAGTCTGATATATCTTTTACGCATGCACTTTCCTTATTGTAAATATATTACCGTAATTCCTTTGAAAACAATTGGACTGGTATTAACTTTTAATAATCATTATTTGAATTGTAACTAGGGACCTTAAACAAAAGCCTTATGGTTTCTAGAAGGTTCCTAGCCGGCCTACTATTGTAAATATTTTCTATTTAAATTGTTAATTTTATAAACTGATTTGGGCGAATATATTAAATAATAAAAAAATAATAAAAATAACATATTAACACGCCTACAGAATCTTTATGTGTGCATCCGTTTCACAACTGAATTTTTAATCTACACAATTACAGCTTTTTGTGTGCATCCGTTTCACGGCTGAAATTTTAATGTTAGAGAAATGTTAGCTACAGAAGCTTTTTGTGTGGTTCCGTTTGACGGCTGAAATTTTAATGTTAGAGGAATGTTAGACTGTTATCTACAAGTTAGTAATATTAGCTGAATGTTAGCTGAATGTTAGTAAATTTGGAAAAAAGTTAGTACTGTTAGCTGAATGTAGTTGAATGCTAGTATTTTTTTTGTATCTACCGCTGAAACTGTTCTATACGAACTCTCTTGCTTCCCATTCCCTTGTGGCCTTGTCTATTACACCATAGCCAATCTCGTTCCCCGAGCCTGCGATCCTCGGGAAGGAAACGAAGGCTCTGGGATAATCCGTTGCCGAAAGCCAGGAATTCTGTCTAAGATTGAACTGCAAGCACATTCCATATCAACGGCCAATCCGATTCCTCCCTGAAACGGATTATCCCAGAGCCTTCGTTTCCTTCCCAAGGACCGCAGGCTCAGGGAACGAGATTGCACCATAGCGCGCATGTCATCATTTTCAGGTCAGTGTGAATGCCTGAGTAGGCGTCTTGTTTTTCTTAGGAATAAAATGATTGTCTATTTTGCGGATAAGCAATTTATACGCGTCCCCGTCTAGTGTACCGTTCAGATCGGGAAGCGCGTCGCCAATATCGATTAAATCTTGTCCACCGTAAATCAGTAGTCCGTCCTTTTTCGTTTCAGGGTCGTTAATACCGAAGAACCTAAACTGTCTCTCAATTTCCTCCTTATATTTTTGCCAATTTTCCGCTGTATCGTTGCTGTCTGTCTGCATGATAAATGGTTTTATTGTGAGGTTTCTGTGTGTTGTGGCATTATTGGGAGTTGTGCTGCTGCTTGATGGTGCGTCAGTCATCCTGTACGCAATTGTTGTTTGATCCTCGTCGCCAATATAGTGTTATAAAGCACGCATTTCATATAACATAAATAATCACTTGTTTATTACTCGGGTATATAATCATAACTAACTAAGATACATGTGCTGGTTGATTGACATATGATAATTGATATATTAACAGATCAAGTTACTACGACAATAATATTGTTATACTGAATATCGTGCGCCAACATGGCTGCCAGCTTAGCTCCAAAGCTCTTTATTGTTTTAATATTTTTAAACTTATTAACGCAAGTTACCTTATTTAAACGGGTGATCTATACGCATAAAAACATTGTAATCAAGGATCCTGTTGGACTGATCGTGGATGTTTTAGTTTCAAAGAGATACGCCTCATTTTCCCGATTAACTATCACCGTATAATTTTGAGACGATCAAACTATGAATCGAATTTCAGAGTCTCGCGTACGGTCAGCAAATCAACAAAACATGGTTATACAAGCCTTATACTACCAACAAAACCTTTCAAAACGGACTTAACGATATGTGCTGACATATCCTCAAATCCTGGTCCTGAAATCAGCGAGAGAAATACATGTAGATCAGCCAAGCAATCCTCTAAGTGCGCGTCGTCATGCTTGAATGCCGTCAACACAAACAATGTTTATAAGCCGTCATTCCTTCGAAGTCTTCGTTCGTCGCCTTCCTCTAAGTATATAGACACTTCTCTTTATAATTGCCTTGTCTCCCTCGGAATCTTGAGACCATTTCGAAATTGTCGCAGTGGAAGGAGAGTGAAAGAACGCAATGCTTACCTTCGAGATCAAAACATTACTCGTGCACAACATGGTCGCCAAATTTGCATATCACCTAATCAAAACAATACACCCACGTATAATCACCCCTGAAGCTGTTGTGCAGACATCGCGTCATTACAAACATCAAGACGCAGTGAGTTTGTTCCTAGCCAAGTTGGCCAACCCAATACGAGGAACTTAAATAATCTGATTTTAATCACACCAAACAAACCTGAGAATCACAATTTAACTTGCGCGGATCAACCGATTGAAACGGACAGTATATCAGTCAACACCGGCCTTATAAAAGTTATCCATCTGAACATACGCTCACTTCGGAGTAATGTCCACCTTATCCAACTTCGAGAACTAGTGCGTTCCACGAAATTTGACATCATCACCATTTCTGAAACGTGGCTTAACACGAGCGTGACATCAGCCGAGGTAAACATTGACGGGTATAAACTTATTAGACTTGATTGTCTACACAAGCGAGGAGGAGGAGTCTGCGCGTATATTCGCAAAGATTTCGAAACTGTAATCTTGAAAGATCTATCTTACATATCTGAACGCAACTTTCACCAGTTGTGGATCAGTGTACAGTGTAAAAAGACAAAATCAGTCGTAATT